ACACATGACAAGCAGACATCCTGTACTAGCACTGAGTAAACTGCATGCTGATAAGTACCATTGTGTGCGGAAAGCACTGCAGAACTGTCAATAGGATCCCTCATCCTGTTGCTCGTTGCAGATGGTTGTACTTCCTGGCTGATGTTCCACATCTGTTAAAGAATGTGAAGGCAGCACTCGTGAATGGGCATAAGTTTGTTGTATCGCAGACAACTGTCGCAGAGCACAATCTGCAAGGCAATGTTATCAATTTCCAGCCCCTTCATGATCTCGTCAAATTTCAAGAAGATCTGGATCTAAAGTTGGCTCCAAAGCTAACTGCAGCTTCATTGAGGCCTTCACATTTTGATAAAATGAAAGTGTCGAATGCACTAAGAGTGTTGAGTCATGAGGTAAGCTCTGCACTAACATACCTTGTTAGTAAAGAGGGGAAGGATGAAAAGTACCTCACTACTGCCTGGTTTATTGAGCTAATGAACCATTGGTTTGCTCTCATGACAAGCAGACATCCTGTACTAGCACTGAGTAAACTGCATGCTGATAAGTACGACGAAGCGGTGAGATTCCTGCGCAGTGTTATCAAAGTCTTCGAAGGTTTGCGAGTAGGCAAAGGGGAGTGGAAGCCCATCCAGACAGGAGTAATTCTGTCTACTACATCAGTCCTCGGCATTGCTGAGGAGTTGCTGAATGCAGGCCATGCATTCCTTTTGACGTCGAGATTAACTCAGGACTGTCTTGAGAATTTGTTCTCCGTTGTGCGTCTCAGAAAACCAGTGCCATCCCCTCTCGAGTTCAAATACTCATTGAAATTAATCAGTACTGCACAGTTCCTGACCATTCGACGCTCTGGGAGCTATCAGCAGGATGATGGGGAGTTCCTCGCTGACTTTCTCGACCAGACTGTGCAGATTCCATCGGAGCCCCAAATTCAGCATGTCAGCTTCTCGGATGACAAGAATATTAGAGATCTTCCACAAGCTGAACTTGACAGTCTGTACAACCTAGCAGGGTACTGCGTTCACAAATTCAAGCGAAATGAAAGAACATGTGCTACGTGCATAACCAGTGTCATTGCAGGACCAGAAGATGTAGTACAGCGTAAGGCCAGCAGGCAAGGGTGGGGGTTGCCCCGTTGTTTGTGCGTGTCGTTACTCGTCTTGCATTGTTGACTAACTACACAGTGCACCGGAACCGAAACACGGTGGAACGTGTTATTGCGGAGGGAGCGCAGTAGTACTGAGGCGCTCGAGTGGCTAACAGAGTCCGGGTGGTGATTATACGGCCATTTCAACGCCGCAGGGTACAACAGGCGAGTGAAATACCTAAGGTTGTTGCTAGTCACTATCTTTCGACCGGTGGTGCCATCGGGTGTCGCCGGGAGATCTCAAAACGCTACACTATATACATATGTAGGACTAGATATGTTAAACTTTACAGTACAGTACCGGTATTTTAGTATTGCTTTGCTTCATGCTAATTAAAGGTTGTCTGATAAGATGATATTCTTTTCTTTGTTACTCCATTAATTACTTCATTTGTAATATTATTGTAATAAATTGTACGAAAGGAGAGCGAGAAATTCACGGGGGGAGGGGCGTTGGGGGATGTCGAGGGGCCCAAAGAAGCTCGAAGCCTAAGAGCCCTGCCATGGGTTAATACGGCACTGGGGTTGGGGGTGATTATTGTTCATTCCCCAGGAACAAATCCTCTAATAATCCTTTATGGCTACGCCCCGATATGTAACACACTGAAGTTGATGTCCACAATCTCCCTTTTGTACTTCTTCATAAGAATTACTTATAAAACTTTCCGAAATATTGGTCCTAAAATGCTCCAAAATAAAGCTCAGATTGCACCAGAGAGCATCTAGAACCCCTGAGCTTCCAGGGCCCTTAAGCGTAAGTGCGCAAAAATAAAACCACCGTGAAATATACAGCTTATACAATACACACATTAAATTTATAATGAGTCTTCTATGATATAATCAATATTCAGTATAATCTAACAATGTCACTAGCCAATAAGCCAGTTCGTAGTTACAGTGTGCGCATGCGCGAACTTTGCCATGAATTATTCCGGGTCGAATTTTTCACATACGTTTCAAAAGTTTTTTTAACACCCAAAACTCGTGACGTAGAATAGCCTAGTTGATGCTCTGTTGGTATTCAAACAATTATATAAATATACAGGCAAACAGTGTTTGATTTATGTCTGTGTTATTCTCTCTATCAGCGATTCTCCCAGCAACAGCAAAGGAAATCAACTCTACGCCGCAGCATCTTCTGCGTGCTGCTGGCCGCCAGTAGAGAGCGCTGCTTCCAGCGCCTGAACCAACTCATCTGCCTGGCTTGAATCCTCTGTGACAAAATAGTTCGTATTTCCACCGCACAGTACACATACGCATGCATCTGTGTCGTTGTAATGCTAGTCTTCGCGTGTGCATGTACACGTGCGTGTGTGCGTGTGCACGTACACGTTCGTTCGTGCGTGCGTGTGCACATACACGTGCGTGCGTGCGTGTGCACGTACACGTGCGTTATAGATACGTGTAGGCCCGTGTGATTGTGATAGTGTGACCAGTATAGTGATCATGCCCCCCAGTATGGTGGTTCGCAAACAGTAGATATATGTGCTATTGCACTAAAGCTGTAGGCAGTATAATGCTATAACCACATAATTATTACAGTTACTCTATTCTTTAATAGTTAGCATCATGGTGACAGTTATATACAATACATAGATGGCTACGCAGGCCAATAAGCAAATACGTGTTACAAATTAAGAAACGTTCAGAATATATCCTGAAAAGAGGTGGCTCGATGAAGCCAATCATGTGATTGGACAGCACTTGTTTCAACTTTCTGTACCACTCAAGGTTTTCCATTGACACGCTGATAAAAGTGCCAGGAAAGATGCTGACAAACATGGACATCAGCAATATTAAACAACATTGCAAAGAAAGTCTGCAGAAGGGATCTACTGATGTAGAACATCTGTTCGAGGAATTAGATTTAATACTGAAGAAGGAACCAATGGCCCAAATACGTGTAAATGTTAATGAGGATAAGCAAGTTCAATATACATTTGTATTTAAAACATTCAAAGCTCGGCACATTTACGTTGAATAAGCAACATTAAATAACTTATGATTAAATGGAGGCATGCGTATGCAGGTAGAATGTCGT